CCCCAAAACCCCAAAACCCCAAAACCCCAAAACCCCGATGATCATGAATGGTATCACATAACAATTATCTTAAATAACAGGAAGTTGACTTTTAAATTGGAAGCTAAGTACTAAAATAAAACTTTTAAGGGATATTTCTAAGTCATGTGACGGTAAACCCTAATTATTAATAAATTTAATTCTAATCCTAAAAATAGTTTCAAGCCATAAATGGGAAATAACTGTTGTTCAAATGAAGCAAGGAAAGCAGAAGGTACTCAGCGAACAGACGTGGACTAGTTCTTTGAGAATGACGGTTTGACGACTCCGCCACCACATGGCTATTTTTAGGGATTAGGAGCCATGCATTCGTCACAGAGTAGCTCGAATTCTCTGTTAAGTATGGAAAGACACTTCACAATGAACAAATTGATGAGGAAAGAAGACAAAAATAGACAAATGCACAAATTAAGAATATATCGCGACGATTCCAAGAGCAGCTCAGCAATTAAGACACCAAAGGCCTAATCAACAAGGAAATAGAGATCACCATCACCCACTGAAAGGAATAATAGACTATAGTTACTAAAGAGCAAGCAGGCATAATAAAGATTGATCAAGAATGCAGTGTAAGAATTCGATCACAACATGTATGGCAAAAGTACGTAGTAGTTGATAAGTAAAACTCTCGTGGAATTAGTAAACGAGACTAAAGATATAAATAACGCAGCTATTAAGAGATATGACATGGCTGAGATTAGAAAATTTCTCATATCCTCCTCATGGAATCCATAAATAGCTTGCAAAAAAATTATACAAGACATTGAATGGAGGAATCAAACCTTTCCAATAAATGACAATGAAATCTACAATATGATTAAGTCTTAGCACGTCATTTTCTGTGGAACTGATAGAGAACTATGCCCCTGCCTCTATATAAGGCCTAATCATCGTGAAACAGGTGCTTTTTTCAAATAAGGCTTAAATGCGGGGCAATATAAAATCTACCTCTGTTATATTTTAGATTAGATTCTGCCACAATTATCCCAATAACAGGGATTCACGAATAAAGTCTCAATAGTGTACGATATTGAGAATGGGGATTTCAGATTGGATATTCTTGAGATTATCGAGGATCTGATTTTGAATCACTTCCCACAAAGATTGCATAGAATTTTCATAGTTAAAATTGGAGTCTAGAACATCACTTAAAAGGTCAAGACGAAATTCCAACAAAAGTTCTATAAGAATCATACTCTACTCTTTGATGAGAATTACATGCTGAATTTAGGTAAATTCTTTGATCCGTAGGAATTATTGAGAGAATATGGAGGCCATATCAACTCTAACAGAGATCAAGATAGAATAGGACTATCTCAAAATAACGTGGAAGAGTATATACTAGATGAATTTTAGTAGGTATATCCAGAGAAAGCGAACTTAATGCTCCGCTTCAAATTAATTTGAATCATCTCCAATCATTATTAGTAATCATAATTATTTTTAATTAAATTCACCTTACATTCAGATATTTCTAGTATTTGGGGTTTTGGGGTTTTGGGGTTTTGGGG